AGCTAAGAATAATGATAGGTCCTACTTAAAACTCTATTTTTTATAAATCAATAGAACAATATTTTAGAAAAGTTTAAAATATAGTTACTGTCTTCATTTATGACGTTGCAATGGTTAAGTAAAAAGGAATAAGCATTTTAAACTAAAGATATATATATTTACAAAAGTAGGTGTAATAGACATAAAACTGCTGCTAATGAAATCTATATTAGAAAGATCATGCAATCATATACTTATAGTTTGTTTATATGAGTTTTAAAAATAATCACAATATGTGTTAATTTTATAATTGTAAAGAGTTTATAAGTATCCTACAATATTAAGATCTCATGTGAGAAGTAGTTAATAAAAAATGAAATCCCTAAATATAGTCACTACTGATGTAATCTATATTGAACGTGGTCTTATTCAAAATTTCATCATCACGCGTAGTGTATATCTATATTGTCTATATTATTTTTTTATAAAATGTGTTTTTCTTTCAATGGAATGAACACATTTGTTTTTAATATCCAAGAATATTAGAAATTTAGCTTGAATTTTTGTAGTCACAGACTTTCTCATATTTCAATAAAAAACAGTGATGTGTAATATTCACAGCTGTATTTCATAACACTTGTAAAAAATGGAATTTTCTATATCACGCTATCATGAATTTCACAATTAAAATAAATTGTATATAGAATTTTATACATTTTTATACATAGTTTTGCATATCCTACAAAACTGAAGGGAAGTTACGATGATTACTGATGATAGGACATGTGATATGACAATTTACTACCCATTCGCAATGTAAAGGGTTTCAACCTCTTTAGCTTTGTTCTTTTCAAAACTTTGATCTTCGACTTTTGAATCATTATTAACTCTTATAACTGGGTGTTGCTTATTATCTTATTCACAGTGTTTCTTCATAGAAAGGGCAATATACTTGATTTCATTATTTCGGATGATATAATTCTCAATTTAATCTTCTGCTGCATACAACCATTCGATATCTTCTTCTGGATAGCTTTCTTATTTATCTTTAACGATATGTTAGAGTATACTGCCATCCGGCTGCCAAGTTACTGTCACCCTGGTGCTAGCTATATTTTTTTCTGTGTTGAACTCTTAAGGTGTACTTAAGATTTTTTGCAGTTCGAAAACTTGAAAATGGTTTTCATTTCAAAATTTCGATCCGTTTTTAATCTTAATACTACAGAAATTATTTGTAAAATAATTTCATGAGGTTACTTTGTGTTCTTTCTTATTTTTTGCTTCCTCAGTATTGTTGGGTGGTACTTTGGCATTAATCTTAATACTACAGAAATTATTTGTAAAATAATTTCATGAGGTTACTTTGTGTTCTTTCTTATTTTTTGCTTCCTCAGTATTGTTGGGTGGTACTTTGGCATTTGCTTTCTTTAATATACAGTTTAGAATCGGTGTTATAAAAAGTATTTACGCTTTTCTAATAGATTTTTTAACAAACATTTTCTGTAGCAAAAACCAATTTTAATAATGTATTTAGTAGTCATTATTTTTAATTTTATACCATTTTTGAGTACTTCCATAATTCAATGGTTGTAGAACTATTCTAGTATATAAATAAATTTTATCATATAAAATTCCCTTTCAACTCCACCAAACACTCAACATATCCTTGTATGCTGTCACCGAGCTTTGATTATGAATATTTTTGTATTTAATCTATTTTCCATTGCCTATAATGAAGCGTTTCAAAAATAGTACGATTTCATTGCGTTTCAGTGGAACTTCACTGATCGTAATTCGGTCACCCAATGTATTAATTCAGATGGTACCCAAACATTGAGTGTCTTTGCGTTAACTGTTATTTTAAAATCATTTCAAATTATTATTGATTGATGTTAAGTGCTTTCGCTATCTTCTTACAGTTTGCTTTTCGGTATTGTTCCCCGGTTAGCAAAATTTACTGACTTTTTTACTTATTGGTCGACTACAGCGAGGGGCAAAGGAGGAGATCGAAATTTTCGGAAAGGAGTAGAGTTCTGAGTTCCGCGTTTCCTTACAGCATTCTTACCGTAAGTCACACAAAATGTACAAAGTGAAAGATACAGTTCGTCTTTTGCCTTTTGGAAAGTTATATGTACGAGATTTTAAATATTTGACTGATTTGCTTATATCACCGAGCATTTTTTCATATGCAACATATGAAAACATTGAAAGTTTTTGAAACCTCCAATGTGGAGTACCATAAAAAAAGGAACATTGGGATTAAAAAAAAACGATGAAACAATAACAGATTTGATCCAAAAAATCTAATATCAGTATATTAGCTCTTATCGTTCTAATGAAAATACTATTAATATATAACTTAAGGGATTCTAGTTAAATGAATTTAAGCAATGTATAACTTAGTTAGCTTAGCCAAATTTAAGATTTTATAGATATTAAATTTATATATAGGTATAGTATTCTTATTGCAATTTTAAGTTAGATTATTATCAAAGACATTTGTGGAATATCAATCACATCATTCTTATGAATCGAAACACATGTTCTACTCACATGTAAAGATCAGCTGTTTTAAAGACGTGTTTTCAGTCTTTAACTACTGGGTTATATACGTAGTGCTTCTCATGTCATATGTATTGAACACATGTATATAGCATTTCATTTCGTTGAACTGAAATAAGATCGTTTATTGTGAAATTTTGCCAAGTGCGCAGTTGTTTTGTTATATTGCCTGTATCTAAGCATTTTATGGAGTAAAATTTGTATATAAAATGTCGATTTTAATAAAAATGATATATGTAATCGTTTGTACCAGTAAGGGACAAATCTGTTTTGGTAAATATCTTATAATCTCTCTAACTATAAATATTTTAAAGCAAGTTAGAATTAGTAGGAACCACAGGTATCAACATTAGCAATAATTTAATAAAAGCAGATTATCTGGTATCTGAAAGGTTTCTATTGCAACAGTAGATTATTTTTGAGGATATATGTTTGGGAAGTTCGTCAGCCTTATAGTGAAATGGCTTTTTTTATCAAACCTTACAAGTTGAAAAAAAATTTCTGTGTTGTTTTTTTTGTCTTTCTCCGTGCATCTCCTTCATTTCATGTTGATTAGACGGAATAATATAGATGATATTCACCTCAAGTTCAATACCAAAGATTTGAATAAAAATAAATCTTTCATATAATTTAACTTTAAATTATAAAATTGGTGAGGTAAATATTTTAGTGTTTATAT